ATATAGCTTTTAATGCGTTTCCGTATTAAGTGAGCGCCATGACTCCCTCTATGGGTGTATTTGGGTATGTAGCTGTCAAACCATTCTGTGTTGTTAGTAGCAGTAGAGTTCCTTGTGAGAGTTGTGTGTTGTTGTTGTGAGAGAGTCCAGGGCAGTACTGCCACCTCATCTATTTCTGCCACCAAGCAGTATTGTGAGTATTACTGCGTTCCGGTTTAGAAGGGTAAGGGTATCTGTGAAATTACAGGCGCATGGGACTTGTCAATTTATGTCTCAGGGTGATGGGCGCAGTGGCAGTGTTCTGAGTGGCACTGCGACTGTTATGGACAGGCGTGTAGCTTACTGTCACTTGATGTTATTTAAAAAAACCAAACTTGAAAACTTTCTACATTCATCTTCTTTGTTTGGGCAATAGTTTATTTACCTTACTTGTATCGTATTTAATTTGATATATATTTTTTTAAATGCATACGCGGGTGCCACGGACACATACGTAAACAACCGCAAATTGCACCCAAACTGACGAGGGAAATAAATATGGGCTATACAAATATTTTTCCCGGACCGGGATTCGAACCCGGACCTCTGCGTGCGTGACAGTCCAACGTGGTAACCGTTCGGCCACGGAGACAGTTGACAAAATTAAAACTACGTACATGCTTCCCCCCTATTTCATAAGAGTTTATTTCAAAGTGAAACAGCATATTTTCATTTGAATACCTACGAGTCTAATTTGGAACGCCGTTTCCTGTTTATATGATTGTAACGTAAACTTGAGATGTGTTATGTAACTTCCATTTCGGGAATGAACTCGCGAACGTACATTTACCTGTACGTACTTCATGCTTGTGTACAGTTCCTGTTCACTTTAATAATCTACGATGACAACTTGTTGCATGACGTCGAAAGGAAACTGTTATAGGTTTTTGATGATAGTCTATCTGTGGCATCGATACTGTGTAATGGATTACACAAACTACGGTATTTTGTGTTTCAAATGTAATGTTTAAGAGTCTATACTACCTTAGCTCGAATTGGTTTTTTTCCCGTACTAACACGATTCGTTTTGCTTGGGTCGAACGGCAGGGACATTGGCTTTATTTCAGAATTTATTTTTTTTTACAAACGAAAAATACTTGAACAAAAATTATTCTAAATAGAATAATTTTCGTTAATGCACTTTTTCATACGAATGAACCAATTTTGTAAACATTTATGCCACTCCTTGACAATCTCTGAAACAGGTTTTTCATAAACTTCGACAGCCTCTTCAGGCGATGAAAATCGTTGACCGCGTAACTGGTTCTCAATTTTTGGAAATAAATAAAAGTCACAAAGTGGCAGGTCGGGACTGTACGCGGGATGGCTTATAAGGTCAACGTTGTTCACCTTCAAATTCATACGTCGGGCTGGCCGTGTGAGAACTGGCATTATCGTGGTGCAAGATGATACGGTGTTCACGGCTATTTTTACGGAGTTTGTCAATAACTTCCGGCAAACAAATGGTCATGTACCAATCACTTTTCACGGTACAACGATTCTCCAAAGCAACAGTAGCCACGTGTCCTGTTTTATTTAAAAAAGAAGCAATCATCCGCTTAGAGGCACTTTGTACGCGCGCCACTTTGGTTGGTTTCGGCTCATCTCGAAAGACCCATAGGCTCGATTGCTGCTTTGTTTTGGGATCGTAACTATAAATCCATGTTTCGTCACCAGTTACTATGTCCCACACCAAATTTGACACCCCTTCGTTGAATCTGGTAAGCATGGCATTGCACCAAGTGACGCGATCCGTTTTTTGAGCCCCAGTCAAATTGTGTGGGATCCACCGAGAGCACAGCTTTTTCACACCCAAATATTTGTGTAGTATTGACTGTATTTGACTCGTGCCTATGCCTAATGATGCCCGATTCTCATGGTATGTCACATGCCTGTCTGTTTTGATCATACGGCGCACAGCATCAATGTTTTTGTTGTTCACAGCAGTGGATGGGCGACCATCACGAAATTCGTCACTGAGATTCACACGACCACGTTTGAATTCTGTAAACCAGCTATAAATAGTCGTCTTGCAGTGCTTCATCGCCAAAATCAGTTTGAAGCCGAGTGAAACTCCGCTGAGCTGTTAAATTACACTTAGAGTCGTATTCTAGAAATCATACTCAAGTCTTGTACTTGATACTCAAGCCCTGACTTGAGTATTGAGTAGAGTTCTGGAATACGACCCTCAAAGTCGAAAATCATACTACGAAAATTTTCATGAGTTAAATTCATGGTGATGTAGACAAGCAACTTCTAAAATGACGCCACATTTGTTTCTACAAACAAAAACTATTCTACAGCCAGAGTTCCATTTTCAAATGTTGTAATACTTTTTAAATATTGTTTATGTAAGTGGTCAGTTTCGGAAACTTATAGTGCGCCCTATGTAATGTCACAATTATGCATTTTACGCGTTTTCGAGTGGTGTTTATCTACGATAACGGTCGAGCGCGTTTTGAAGTGTAGCAGCGGCAACTAAGTGAATTTCACTTACTTTGGGCATGCGAAGTACGTACACTTGCGGCGTCTATTTAGACGTATATCTGTGGTGTATATCCTCAATTTTACTATATATTTATTTTCAAGTGATTGATTCAACACCTTCACTATTATGCGGAATCAACCAAAGCCATTTGAGGTTGTATAGAGTCTCAAAGAAGAATTCTCACTCTCAAACATGATTGGGTATGCAGGTTATTCATCAAACACTACAATGTTGAATAAACGTCTACAATATGTTACAAGAACGCTTTTAAACCTAACCACTGTTCAAGACATTGTAACCAATGTTTGTTATTGTTTCCAGGTGATGCTGGGCGGAGTAGAGGGCGTGGGTGGGGCGGCGGAGGGGGAGATCCTCACCGTCACCATCGTGCGCGACGAGCACGGATATGGCATGAAAGTCTCCGGTTGGTACCACTTTTTGAGCGTTAATGAGCACTACGAGGATGATTGTTTAGTAGCCGTGTTTCTCGCTAATGGTGAAGAAGTACATCGTGACGAAATCTGCACGTTGGAAAAGGCACAAAACTTTTGAAATAGCCTTTTAACCAAATAAAAAACTTCACCGTCCACTCGATTCAGTTAATTCGGGTTGTTTGTAAGTAGTACCTGATCAACATGTTACAGGCGACAAGCCCGTGTACGTCCAGTCGGTGAAAGAGCACGGCGCGGCGTGGCGCGCGGGGCTGCGCTCGGGTGACCGTATCCTCTGCGTCGACGCGGTCCCGGTGCGCGAACACACGCACCAACAAGTTGTACATATGATCCGAGGTGCGTATCTTGCCGTGTTTTTGTGGTGCAAGAATGCTTGCACTGACAACTCATATCGACAAACGTATTCCATTTCTGGGTTCCATGAAAGAGGTTCCTTAAAGGCGTGCTTAAGTACCCTGTCAAATCCCCGGTGGTATACGACGTACCGTGTACAGGCGATTTGCTAAATCGTTACAAACATTAATAAAAAAGTAGACATTTGACAATTTTGACATACACTCCCGGACACGTTACACGAGCCACCTTGCATTTTCAGTATTGCATTTTTAGCCTTAAGATTATTAATAATAATAACGCACACACTCAACATAGATCTAAGAGTTAGATCTACGACTCTGGTATTCTAAACTTATAAATAATATACTAAAGGTCATATGTCCTTGTTGAAAATTTGAATTTGTAAAACCTGTAAAATTTCTTCGATGTAACAATATATTTGTATTTAGCCCTTTAAAAATAAAATTGCAAGGCGGCCCGAATTATGTGTCCGGAAGTGTAGTCGGGATGCAGAATTTCGTGTTCTATGTTGTGATGTGAGTAATTCCCTTTCGTCCAAATTATAATTTACGCCATTAATCTTATAATAACTTATAAGCATGTATCGGAAAAGGTAAATCATAGTTACCTAAACTTCATGTAACACATGCAGAGTAAATAATACCTCTCTTAAAAATAATGCAAATAGTTATGTATTTACGTACAATTACAAAACTATTCTTCTTAAATACACTACCGTAATAAAGAAATTGCTAGTTGCCTATCAAAAATATAAAAAAAAATACAATACAATAATTCCGGAGATTCAGAGGGAGGTGTTATCGGCTCCATGTGTTTTACCTGCTTGAAATTTAGGTAAGTATACGCTGCCACTTCTGAGACGAAACTTTCACTTAGGCCCTGCGCGAGCACAGTACTCCTTTACTTTTCCATATTCAAACCAGATCAATATAGTCTGTGAAATTAAGCTTGATTAGAATGACTCATGTCAAACGTCATGAACCAGTGATGGGACACCAACAATTAGAACAGCACATCGAGAATCGATGTTAAAATATATCGACTGAACTATCCTTTTTTAAGTCGGTGTTATAATTATAATATCACGGTAATATTTGAAATCCACTCATACGATTCATTAATAGGGTTCGTCTCATGAATTATGGCATTTAGGTGTGGCGCCAGTATTTTCAATTTTCAGTTTAATTTCCATAGATGTAACCATGTATACCTAAATAATATGTTGGATAAAAAATTATCAAAAATACACGTTAAAAAACCCAAAGTAAATTTGACGTTTTAAAAATTGTCGTCAAATTATTTATAGACTGAATGGGTTGATCGACTCTATATTTTCGATGTGTTTCATGACAACCTTTGTTCCGACTGACGTAACTTAATCGTGTTAACTTATGAAAATAAACATTAATAGTATTTTTTAGTGAATTATAAATTCCAACGTATGTTAATCGGTTTTAACGTAAATATTAAAAGTAATTATTGTGTTGTAATTATTAATACAAATATCGAACTCTTCGAAAAAATTTCCTCGGTGCGGCTGAATTAGAATCAGCGTCGTCTAGCAAACCGTGCTAGACGCTATGCCAACTAAGCCACGGAACGAACCAGCGGACCTTACGGATATTTCTATGTGCTTGTTGCAAATCTTTGCTTTTTGGTTTTTAGTGACTTTTTGCCGTAGCGCCATCTGTGAGAAATCTATTTCTTCACTCATCCAGGTACAGTTAAGAGCAGGTCAAGTTTGACACTTTGAACTTTGGACCGTTTTTATCTTATGAGGCGTAGAGTTGGATTTAAATCTTAAGTGTCAAGCTTGACGTGCTCTTGGCCCTGTACCTGTACAGCTACCAGCACCTGACTATAGATGTCGCTTTAATTTATATATATATATATATATATATATAGATGTAGATTTAATTAATTGTAATTCACTTTATTTTGATTGTCAGGATGTTTTACCACCATGATAGTCAATTACATTTTTGTGAAATCACGCCACTAGTTTGTTATAATTATTAACACAGATCAAACACTTAGAAAAATCCTTCGACCCGGCCGGTTTCGAATAATCGAAATTTACGTCGTCTTAATTTTGCCGACCTGTCATTCTAATTAAGCTAAATTTTACAAAATATAGTGAAGTAGACACCCTGTAGTGTAACCTTGTGCATGTTACAGCCAACCCGACGACTATGCTCACCGTCCAGCAGAACGCGTCCAGACACAAGACTCCCATCACTGCGCCCTTCCCTGTCAATGTGAGTGCTAACTGCTACATGTCACCGTACATGTACTGCTATGTACAACCGCGCGCGTGGCATCAATTAAGGCCAGAGGCTCAACCGTCTCGTAGTCAGTTTGACTTTTTTTTGATGATATCAAGTGACGACACGTACAAGTCATGCGTCTGGCGGTAAGCGACACGCCTACCCATTACAGTTGCAGTGCCACTCATTGCTTTAAATCGCAAATATCTGGGAAGCACTGCCACTGCGCCCGCACCATGGGACATAAAGTTGACAAGTCTCACGTGTCTGTAATTTCACCAGCATCTTTATCCTTCAAAACCTGAAACGCGGTAACGTTCACATTACTGTTTAGCGTCAGAAAGGATACCTTTATTTTTAAACCCAATTATGTACCAAGGTACAACTTATGTCAAAAAATTTCTAAAATTATATAGAAAATTTAATCTACAATTATATGAATAAATGATTCAGCGTTCGAAGAAACGTAAATTATTATTATTCTAATAATTATTATTAGAACAATATTCTTATAATTATTATTCTCATTATTTTCCAAATCAATATTATTTTAATAATTATTGTTATAATAATAATAATAATAATAACGCACACACTCAACATAGCCCTGCACTAGGGAAACCCTGTGTCGCGGGTGCCATGGACACATAGACAACCACAAATGACACCCAAACTCACGAGAGAAATAAATGTAGGTAATACAAATATTTCTCTCGGCCCGGGAATCGAACCTGGGACCTCTGCTTGGCAATCCGGAATTGTCGTGATTTGACGGCTTTCATTGTAGATATTAATCGGGTTCGATCGAGAGAATGTCCGTAAAGAATATCCAAACGTCTGTGGTGTATATAATAGAATAACACAAATAGTAATACTCCAGACACGCGAATCAAACGAAGCATGTCTATGACGTTGACGTGTCGACCGTGTCCATAACATTTCAATGGTTTAACAGCTCGGGACATAGTCTTTTAGCCAGCCTTTTTATATATTATAATAATTTATAAATGGACTCGTAATGAATGAATTATAAAAGAAATATATTAAGACGATTAGACCTATTTTTTAAACAATCCCGATAGCTGAATACCTGCTATTTGAAGCATAGACATTGCCATCTATAATTATCGTGTTGCCAGTGATTTACATGTTTGAATGATAATTTTAAGTGGTATGCACAAGTGATTACTGAATTCTACTTTGTTTTTTTTTTATGAATTTGCCGTATTTTTTTATTTTAAAATATAATGTTTTTTTTAATGATATGATAGTTCCTGAGGTTCATCATTGGGCCCAAGTTGTATGGAAGAAAAAATGGATCCTTTATTAGATGTTCATTAAAAATCTTCCAAGATATGTAAAATCTGACATTCAGCGCCGAAGGTCAGGCTGAGTTTTAAGCTAAACAGTTAGTTAACACCAATCAAGTTGCGTCTGCAATCGGGGCCACAGTGGTGGTAGGTGGTAATTAATTTGACGGCGTAAACATTTCGACATAGGTAATTTCACTACTACTTGATGTGGCTCACCGTATCAGCCAGCTCATAACGATGTCTTCTAAAAGCGACAATCCAAATACGTCAGTTTGAGCGAACAAACGAATCATATGAATGCGCGGGATGCGCATAATTTCAATCAGGTCTGAAAACTCACCCGAATTTAAGGTAAACAAGTCACAGTTTAATCTGAATCCCGATTAGACTTTATTATTTATTGAATAGTTTTTGCCTAGGTCAAACAAATTTAGGCCGAATTAGCGTTTAACCTGTAAAATACATATGTATAACACACCATTACACATGTCACATGTTTACTCCGTTTGACGCAAGTTACATAAGACCAGATGGGTTGACATCGTCGGTACAATGCTACTCAGTTACGGTGGCGAAAATAACATCTTATTACAATAATATGAAAGTTAATAGCCATGGTACGATAAATTACACATGCAATTAATGATATCGACGGTTCTGGGATTCCCGGTTGAACCAATTAAATTTTGTTTGTTTCTGAACTTGATGTACAAGCCCAGCATTTATCAACCTTCTCTGGACCCATCGGGCAGCTTGCACATACACTGCCTCCATTTGTGTTTCCACATGTTTCGACATGTATAGTGCCATGTTAAATATCTTAGGCGACTTTAACGGTTTTTATTGTAATTAAGAGTGAACTCATATCTCATGTAATAGAAAACAAACATTACAAAATCATCTTTGTTTTTATAATGCCAGAAATGAGTCTCTTTTGTTAAGGAAACGCGGTTCTAGTGCCTCCGATGTTTGGTCAGATATTTATCGTACAAGGGATTTCTCTAATTTAAAACTGGGTAATTAGTGTCATTGTCTGTTGTAATATTACAGACCGATCTTTACGTAAATAAGACAGAAATTGCCATATTATCTCAATATGCTGCGGAGCCAAATAAAACCATTTCATATAGTAGCAGTAGAGCTCCTTGTGAAAGAGTTCGTCCAGGGAAGTAGTGCCACCTTACCTATTTCTGCCGCCAAGCAGTAGTGAGAGCATTACTGCGTTCCGGTTTGGAAGGGTAAGGGTGCAGGTGAAATTACAGGCATATGGAACTTCTCAACTTATGTCTCAGGGGGACGGGCGTAGTGGCAGTGCCCTTAAGATCTTTGCGATTTAAAGCTCTGAGTAGCACAACAACTGTTATATGGATGGGCGTGTCTCTTATAACCAGGCACATGACTTATTCGTTCCGTCACTTGGTATTATATAAAAAAAGATAAAATACTAATACTAATATTGAAACTAGAGCTTCTGGTAAACGTTTCAGAGTTAAATTATACTTCAAATAATGTAGGATGACCCCTGTAACCTGTCACGACGTGTACTAATTTACGCATTTCATAAAATATTTTTATAAGCCTCGTTTTTAAATGAAAGCCTTTGTTTAAATAAATACATTAAATTAAAGTAAAAATAATACCAGATCAGTATTTATTTGTGAGAAATTAGCGAAAAGAATTTTTTTTTTAAATTCATAAGTTTTATACAACTACGTGCAAAGGTTATGCTTATCGGTCACTACACTGCATTTGCTAGAGATGAAGTATATCGATGGAAAAAAATCGATAATTTAGGAATAAATGTATAATGCGGGTATTAATTCTTAAGGTATGAATTTTAATCATAGGCATTGAATTGACATGTCAGTGTTATTCCTTTTTTGAAACCTATAAATGAAAGAATTGATTTTTTTTTACTTCTTAAATATCTATTGAAATTGCATTTGAATTATGGTTGTGCGTTTTATGTCTTCAATATAATACAAAAACACTTCACATATCTATACATCGTTCAGAATACGTCAGAAGTATAAAACTATAAGCTTCAAAAATCAAATACACTAACACTTTAACTGCCTCTAACTGCCTTCGTGGCAGAACGGTTACCATGCCGGACTGCCACGCAGAGGTCCCAGGTTCGATTCCCGGGCTGGAAGAAATATTTGTATGGCCTACATTTATTTCTCTCACGAGTTTGGGTGTAATTTGTGGTTGTCTATGTGTGTGTCCATGGCACCCGCGTTACAGGGTTTCCCTAGTGTGGGGCTATGTTGAGTGTGTGCGCTATTATTATTATTACCCTATCGACTTTGCCTCCACCCTATGACAAACGTCAAATGCAGTGTCACGGGGTCATCCTAGTTTGAGTTTAGTTTAATGAAGATAATAAATAAAATACCATTAAATGTATGTACGTAGGTTCAGTAGACAGTAGTCCGAAATTACATTTTCCAGAAATAACGTTTGCTCAAATTTTCATAACTTCGAAAGTAATTTTAAGAGGAAAATGTTTTTTCTTTAAAACCCAGCTTAACCTTTTTTTTTTGACGGGGGGGGGAATCTTTGTGGATACGCCTGAGCCCAGGGAGACTCAGGGGTTATGTGGGGACTCTCCCTCCAGACTGGAGGGCCTACCCCACTAAAATCCCCCTTGTTTCCCTCTCGCCAATCTCAACATTCACCACGACGCCTAACCGAACCTAATCGTGTCTTTGCGATAAACATCCAACATATCCTGAAAGAACAACAGTTTCGTTATAATTTAGTTTTCGGTGTAATGACAATTGGAAAAACGATATTTCGGAAAAAAGAAATTCGAGTTTGTGATAGGTTACCGCGCAAGCGTAGTCCGTTTGCGCGTGCGTGCATGCGTACGTAAGGTGTACAAAATTGTATTATTGAGTAAAAGATTTTTCGTCATCTGTTATAATTAACGGTCATTTTGAAGTATTTGCACTGAACTTTATTTAACATTGCTTAGTAACATTGCCATCAACGTAATTGCCGTCAAGTTGAATACGTTAAAAGCAAACAATACTGTGTAGAAACAGGCGTTAACACTATTTTTACAGATAACTTAGTAGCTTTGTACGACGTGTTAACTACAGTAACCGTGAGTCGAAGCGGTCTCTATTGATGTGTAAACAGCTGTTGTAGCACTAGAGGATTGGCAAGGTCGGATGCAGGCGTGCGCATGCGGTGCGCGGTGTGCGATTCAATACAGTGGTTTCTATTATTATTATTATTATTAGTTCTCGATTACAGAAGGTTGAGAGACGCTACGGCCTTCAAGTTATAATATCTTTTTACAAGACGACGTGAGAAATACGGAAGAAAAGTTAATTTTGTTGAAAGTGGTATTTTTTTTAAAAAGTATATTATTTTTGAATATCGATCGAGGAGGAGAATTTTTTTTTTTTGAGAATACATTGTGTATAATTCATAATAATAAAGGGATTCTCTTAGTTCATAAAAATTGTTACACATTTTAAGTATTTTTTACAGATAATTTATAAAAAAAACCGTTAAGGTTTAATATGATCCAATTGGAGCCTTATGTTTGTGTTTCAATTACGAAGAAATCTTTGCGCATGTTGAATTAATTGTAAAAACAGGACGTCGTAAAATTGTCACGATGCCTGCTGGTCTGCCACGCAGAGGTCGGGACCTCTTTACTCTCGGGACATATTACACCCAAACGAAACTCACTAGAGAAATATAGGCCATATAAATATTTCTCCCGGCTCGGGAATCGAACCTGGACCTTCTGCGTGGCAGACGAGTTTCGTAACCGTTTGGTCACGAAGGCAGTTAGTAAAAATTATTGTTATGAAATACCACGTTCACCGCACAAGCGTTTAAACAATAGACGATATTGTATTGTCAGTGTGTTGTTGTCAACAATTGATGTAATTTTTAATATTCATTCTATTAAGATTGTCATGCAAGTAGTTTAGGAGTATAATTTAACATAGTGCGACTACAAGGACTAATTTACTCAACAAGAGCCTCTTACGTGCACCATACACACGCTGAATCGAGTAGATGAAGTGGTAGACATTTTTACTTGTTTTGAGAGCGAATTCATAAGGGTTATACTCTCTGTAGTAGTGTACTTAGTGGATTATTTTTATTATTATTTGTTGTTATGGTTCAATAGAATACCCATTTATTAATTATTATTAATTAGAATAATTATTATTTTATATAAATAAATATAAATGTCACACTATTGTATCGAGACAATCCCGTAAAAATGGCTGTATGTACGAAATAAATAAGTGAAAAATAATTATATATTTGACGATGTCTACTTGTATGTCACGTTATGTTTAATATTAATGTTTGTATATTTGCAGCCCGAAAAGCTCCGGCAGCTGGAGATGGCCAAAGCTCACACCGTGCGACAGATGCTCGAGAAAGAACAGACATACATCAGGGATTTGAGGAGTACGTTTTGACCTTCTTTGTTTATATCCGGAACTTTAAACCACTGTGAGAAGTCATAAACTATTTAAACCATTTATTTCCACACGCATTAAATACATAATAAAGTAAATCAAACATCAAAAAATGTTAAAATAGTGATGCAATCTTTGCTCAATTAGGGTTTTTAAAGTCGAGTACCATGTTAATAATCGGTACGAGATTTTAAGACCTAATTATACATTTTCTACAAGTAAATTACAATAATGAAACGCAACTAATATTTAATGTATTTTTTGTCAACAATCCATGGCAGTAAACTCAAACGAAAGCCTAACAAACGCTACAAAACAAAAACCAAAGAGATAGAATAGAAGTGTCCGTGATTGGCCAAGTACCGCCTATATTTTAACCAATCAGGAGGGAGTAGAGCGTTTGAGTAGCGTCATATTTAATATTTTATGTTTTTTTGCCTATTATGTAACATTTTGAGGTATTAATAGAATTTTGGTTTGTGATATGTTTTATGAAACTGGTTTAAAGTACAGGAGTAGAAAGAATAATTAAGATATGTGTTGGGGACACGCTAAGTCTTCAGTGACAGTCAGAAGTTGCTTAGCACTGGTTTTCGGCCTACCTCCTATTTAGGCTACAAGAGATAAATAAAGACAATAATCTCAGTAGAGAGTACTAAAACAAGACCAGAAATTGCACGAAACCTGATTTATCCCCTAGTTTGCCATTCTTAAAGGTGGAACATTTTCTTCAAATTTACATGGAACTAACACTGAGGTACCCTCTTTCAAACAAAAAAGCAACATCAAAATTGGTTCACAAATGCCGGAATAACTGTGTAACATACACCCAAAAAAACATTCAAATTAAGAATCTCCTCCTTTTCTTAAAGTCGGTTAAAAAGATGTTGATTCATTAAACGTCTCTATTTCGCTTTAAGTAAACTCTAGTTTGTTTTTTTTTTATTCTCGTAGTGTCGTTTCTGCGCAACGTTTTAAGATTTTGTATTAAATATTATGGTTTTTCATACTTTTCCCAGATGAATTAACGAAAGTGCCAGATGTACGAAAACAAGCTCTATTGGAATCAGCCCAACAACGCTGTTCAACATTACAACACGAGATTGACAATATTATGGGTGCTCAGGTGATTGTTCTTATATATTATTTTTTACATATATTTATTTGTTGTCTATTACTGTAGATTAGTAGGTGTGTGAAAGACTTATTGATTACCTACCTGCCCACCTAAATTTTAAATAAAATACATGTTTAGTTTTAACTTGAATGAGAGCCTCCTATTTATATAACTTGTAACCCAGTCTGATGTTCAGAGGTTTACGAAACGCGTTCTCTGGATTTCCAGTTCTGAAGTTCGGAATTGGTTTTGGGAATATATGTCGCAACCCATGGAAAATTTGTGAAGTCCCCAACGCACGTTGAGCCAGCTTGGCGGACTACAGCCTAAACCCTCTCCTTAGAGGAGAGACCCGTGCCCAGCAGTGGGACGTGTGAATGAGTTAATGATGATGATAATGAATGTATTTCAAAGCATTCATGGCTTATTTTTGTTCATAATTTCACCGAATGAGAAACGAATATGTGGACGAAGATGGTCTTAAAGGTACTAAACATGGCAATTTGTTGTGGCCAATGCTCTTCTGTTCAGAGACCTATGCCCAGTAGTGGACTGCAAGAGACTCTCGCGGTACGGTATGTGTGGTAGTCAATACGTCAAGTAAACATGCTGCAGAATTTGCGTAAATACACTGTAGTAAATGTCCACAGTGAATTCGATGTTAGTTAACTTACAATTATAATTAGTTAGCGGCTATTTTATTTCGTTGCAGCCGATTTTCTTTTTCCAGTTCAATAGACGCGTATCAACATTTTGTCTTTTAAGAGCTATTGCCAAATCAAGGTGCGCAGTGTCGCCACACTACGAAAAATACTCCAAATTAGTGTCATTCGACAGTTTGCTCTAAACGAATGATATAGGGTGCGTTATTGATTTGGGAATAGCTTGTAGTTTTCGGTAAATATTTTGAACACACCGAACCAGAGTCGAAGTTGCGAAATTGCAACGTGTTATTGGCGAGCGTAAGGTTTAATTCGCAACGACTTCGTATTCTGTGTGAGCAAAGTACCATTATTTGTGTATCTTTATCAGTGTTCGTAAAAATTACACTTGCGTTACAAAAAATAAGAACACAAATTGTAGACGAAACGCAAATTTTTTATGTAACATGTAATTGTGTTAATAGAACGATGTCGTACACTTAATATCCTTTTTAGATAGCCGAACGGGAAATTAACATTAACAATTATTTTTATGCGCAAATTGATTTCAAAATACAAATTTCGGTTGTGATTTTATATTTTTTATGGTTTATCGTTGACCATTTCTTCAGTCAATAATTTTAGATAGAGGTTGTCAGTGTTACGCAATATATAGTTCGTTATCGAAGAACTAGCTAACCTGCAGTTCTTATTCTGTAGAGTTGCGTCGTGCGAACGCAAGTATTTAATAGCTGTGAGAGAGCGCTACGTTACGTTCTCTTTCTCATTTTATTGTCGTGAGTCACATATTTTAAACTACTATGTGCTTTATGGAATTGGAATAATGTCTATTCTAATATTTGAAACCCACAGGTAGTTAATATCAATCTTAAATACTACTGGTGTCGAAAACGGCCTTTTCGTTTTGGTTTATTGGTTAACGGTTATAGTCAACAATAACATTATAACAGAGACAGATTTGTTGTCATTCATGTCAGATTTAAATAAAAAAACTGTAAAAATAGTTTCCTTATTCTTGTAGTAGCACATTAAAATATAAAACGTACCTACGTAACTGAAAAAGTAATTTTCGGAAACCTCCAGAATAGATTTTAACAACATGTACGTGGCGTGAGCCACAAGCGCCATTAAGATGAAAGTCTATTGGACATGAAAAACAATATGTAGTTTTATTTCGTTTTACAAAAATGTTACTTTTCCCAATTTCATCGTTTTAATTATTGAAGGTGATATTTTCGAATGATCACTACGACATATGTATAAACACGGTCTCAAGATAACGAACTCAAATTATATAAAACAGGTTTTACTCTTACGTTGTTCACTTTTTTTTGTATCGCAAGTGTAAAGGAGGCGAAAGTGAGTGTCAACTATGTCATGCTATGGTGGAATTTATGTCCATACTAACTGCTAACCCATGGGTCCACTAAGCCACGGGTCACGTACTTGCGTCCTTCGTGTACCACGTTCGTTTTTGTGCATGTACCCTGTGTGACGTCAACAAATTTCAGGTAAATAATAGCAATACGCAGAAATGATACAACAATATCCAAAATGTTTGGCACGCGCTGACGGTGAAGTACCTAAATGATATTTGGAATAAGGTATATTTTTTTCAGTGCGTTACAGCGCAGGACAGGTTGTAGAATTTCTGTTTATCCGGCAGGACTTAAGGGTCTTAGGTCTCACTGTCGGAAACGTGTGTGAGATATTAAGAAACTTCTTTAGTGAACTCTCTGTGGTTTTCGAAAAATACAAACAGCTCTTTTTTCGAAAATAATAAACAATTCGAACATCAAATTGACCCTAATTAGCCCTAATAGCTCTTCAGGGCTATTCAAGGCCAGGGTGAAAAGGTATTGTTTTGACAAACGCATACCATCGTTGGTCATTGCGTCGCTTAACTTCAGGTGAGATTGTGGTCAAGCGTGCGTCTATTTTATATTAATAAAATATATATATGTTTAGAGGCGGCGGTAACTTCTGTTAGTCACGTGGACCGTCTGAGTGTTTGCTGATGTATATTGTATTAGAAAATGATTTCGTTATTTACGTTTCCTGCCAAGTAGACGAACGGAACACTATTGGTCGTTTAAACGCGTGTTTTCGCCACCCGTTTGGTAGACATTAGATGTTAATATCAGTGACGTTTTTAGTACGGCCATAGAACTGAATTTTGGTGACAATGTGAATGACATTCGTCAGTTATTTGACACCAAAAATATTGGCAACGTAGCCCAAGAATTCGGCAAGCTCTGTAGCAAAGGACTAGGAAAATTTTAGATATGATCATTGGTGTCCACGTGTTCTGTACTGGAAACTACGTTTAGTCTAAAGTACTACTAATAGCGGAGACATCTGAAGGTAGATTAAAGCTCAAGATTGGACTCGGTAGTGCGGGATGATGACGAATAATGATTTTGAATGAAATTACGAATTTGCATGAAAAGAGATAAAATGTATTCTCGACTTTCGCCTCCGACAATGTGGGGATGGTTTCAGTGTTGTACAGAACATTGCACTCTATTACATTTATTTCTCACACTACACAAGTAAATAGTCCAATGTAGCACTTTGACTCTCCTATAGCCCGACGTGCCTGTACCGGCAACACCACGGCTCTCATCACGAACCAAAACTGTGCACGAGAAGACCTCTCCCCCACCGAATACCGGTTTTCTCAGTGCGCTGCCGAGATCTCTGAGCAATCTCACAGGACAGAGCTTAAGAAATTTACGGCAGGCGCGAATGAACAACAAGTCGCAAGACATTCAACCTTTAGTACGACAAAATTCGGATGACAGCAGTCGGCGACGTCACGTCCATAACAACACCGTGCCTATGGTCCCCACTACCTGTCTAGACAATGTCACTCCTCCTCCGTTGCCTCCCCGATCTATCGAACGCCCGAAAAGAAACGCTCTAAGTCCTCCGAATCCAATGAATCCCTTATCCAAACCTAAGCCTTGCACGTCAGCGACTCCAATACTGGCAATGCAGTCTCAATATGCGAGAAGATACCCAGACTTTCCGATGCACCAATCGATGCCAGCGTACAATGATAATATGAAACAAATGAGGAAGTCGTCACATTCGTTGGACGGGGAACTGGATGGGCCACAACCGAACTCGATCGCGTTGCAAATGAGTTTTCCGTTGGTCAACGCGCCTCCGCCGCCTTTGCAGGTACTCCTTTGGGTTGGATACTACACACTTAGAGTTAGGAACTGAGGAATGTTTCCTTGTTGGAAGGAATTTCTTGAAAACTTTTTGTGAACTGCCACGTACTTTTCATTGACCTGTTACTTTGCCCTAGGTTTCTGAACATTGCTTGGTAAGTTTGCGAAATTTCGAAAAGTAATTTTGTAAACTTATGGAAACGCCCTTGGACTTTCCGACTCTCTTATGTAATTAGTATAGTTGGTAATTGGGTGTCATTTCAGCTTTATGTACTTTACATTCTGCTTTTTAGCTCTATTATGTATTTTCTCTAAAATTATAGACAATATGTATATTGTAGTGTGTATAGTTTTATTACATTATTGCCTGTTCTCCAGAATTAGGCATAAAATCCCGTTTGTCTAATCATTTAATTATTTAGACCACAGCCTATAATTGATTAAGAGAAGTTAATTTTCTTAATTATGGTGTACCTGGTACCATCCGAAATCTTAAAAACGATAAATAGACAACGACAAAATTGTTCAAAACTGAAAAATTTCTATTAAAAAATCTGATAATACAGAAATAACTGTTTAAATTAATCGAAACTTTATTGCATTGTGCACGTTTATGTAATAAAATACAAACATGAATAATAATATGTGATTACTGTAATTTTAAAAACGAGAAATACGTTTATTGAATGTACGTGTTCGTCCGAACTAACTTTATGACGTGACTAACAAACTGCATGGCTACCCTAACAATGCCATCAACGATGCTAATTGCCGATAATGTGTTTCAGACTGACAATAGAGGCAATGTGCCCGTGCTACATGTGAGGAGCCAGTCATCGCCTGAACATTTAGACCATGAATTACCTAGAAGTAAGTTCTCTTTATTGATCTTCACATTTCCAAAGAATACTACTGGGGTTCCTCTTTAATAATACACAGACTCTTTTTGCAAAATGCGCGCAGACTCTGCCGGCTGCAGGCAGAGGGCGCTGGGCCGTCGATCGCTTTGTACCTCAACTAAATACACCCCCAACATTTAAAAAACTCAATGAAATAGGCTAGTATATGTATGTGAGCGCGTCGTTAACAATAATACTTTATATAGAACCTTTTAAGGTTACTAACATATGGACAGCATGTTTGCAGTTAATGCGTGCAGTCGTGATCAACTGCATGCAGACTAGATTTCAACTGCAAGTGTCAACTGCAGTCAATGTGAACGAGTCCGGGAATAAAAAAAGCAAATTACCTTTTTAAGACGACACACGAATTTCCTGTCTGAAACATATTAATTTTTTTTTCAGTAAAGGCAAAAGGTTTGAATTACTTTAGGGTTTAATCAATATAATGTTAAATCAAAAACTCGATTGGTGAAATTTTTCTTGACGTATTTATTTCAAATTTGGACAATTCGTAATTTTTTTCGGTATTGGCATCATTGTTTACGTTTTTGATTGCAAATTCCACCGCAGAATACTCTGCGTTGGACTCTCCGTCTCCGTCTATACAGTCGGAGATTACGACCGTGCTCCTACTAAGCGTACGGCCGCTCTTTGATATGGATATCGATATTAAGAATGTGAATTCTGACAGATTCTAGTAACGTTTTGTAGTTTTAGTGAACAATTGATCTTAAAACGAGAATTGGCCCTTTGATTTTTTGTACTGAATATACGAACGTCTACTTTCAGAGTGTTCTCCCTAAACGGTTAACGTGAAACCTATAGAATTTTAGAGGTTTTAGAGGTTTGTTTGTAAAAACAAATATACGCGATTTAAATCCGGAAAAATAGTTTCATTTCCTACCTATAGAATTGTTTTTAGAATGTTGAGAATTTTAATTTTTTTATAAATACAATTTCTCGGTCAGAAATTAATGGTTACGTTTTTTCTAGTAAATGACGATAGTCACAATGGTCGATTAATACTTTTGTTGTGAATTCTCAGCAGGAACATTGTCCGAGAAGGAGGCGTGGGAACGCGGCACCCCGCCCCCCGGCACCCCGCCGCCGCCCTACGCTCACAACACGCAGGTGAGTCTTTTTTTTATATTTATTGAGGGACAAACAGTTACACATGTATAAAAAAATACATATTTTAAAATTAACTTATAAATAAACCCATAGTCCCCTAAATATACATAAAATAAAACATAAAGTAGGTAAACAGACAATCTGATACACAATAAACAACACGGAAGAAAGAAAAGTATCTATGTGGTCTGTGATAAACAACTTCAAATTATGAATAGATATAGCCACAGACATATAGACATAATACATACAACACAAAAAACACGAAAGCTTCGAGTCTTCAACGCCAATTCCTGATATTGGTGTCCATTCTGTCCTAAACCAATCGACGAATTAGGTTTACAAATATCGCCATCCCTGTTACTCTTTCTTATAAAAATAATATATAGAAGATTGTGAAACTTCCTTATACAGCATTAACTCGTAAATTAACAGACAATATATTTGTACGTTACAGCCGTGCGCAGATCCTCAAAGAGCAATCATATCAATGGAGGAAGACGACTCACCCGCCTCAGTAAGTTCATACTTGTCTACTCTTCCAAGTTAGTTCGCGCAGAATTGTCCACAACGATTGACCCGGGCCAAAGTGTAGCAATGAAACAACTAGTATTTCTAGTTAACGCTCGTTATAGGACGCTTTGTAAACTATGTTTAAGCTTCAAAAACACCCAATCGTAAATAACAACTTTTACATTAGTAGTACTAAATAATTTCAATTTTTATTGATGCTTATTAAAAAAATGTTAATTTTCAGGACAACTCAACGTATTCCGGTTTATTTTCGAATGTTCGCTCGGTGAGGGAATCTAAAGTGAAAACTGCTGTCTTACTCAACTGGCTGTTAGGAGAGAGAAGGTAATGTTTGTTTACTAAAATGCTGAAAAAAAGGCTAGGGCTAAGTCACAAAAATACAATTGATAGAGATAGTTCCACTTGGTGGCATACTATTTTCACAGGGCGATATCATTATCGCTTTTCATTGACGAGATCATTCTCGTCAATGAGAAGTGAATATATTATTTTAATTTCCCCAAACACCCTGCGTGTTTTCAAGATTAGGTGCGCATACGCGCGTACGCAGTGTGGCAGAAACGACCAGAAGAAAATGGAGAGATGGTCCCCCATACTAACATAATCGACTGTGAACTGGCAACCAGTAATAGTACTGGTTGAATAGTATTGAGATAGCTCAATTTTGACAACTTTACAGGTGAAGAAAAAATCATTTATATAGCATCTGGTTTATAAAATAAAAATATGTAGTGTACATACACACATGTGTAATAAAAATATTTAAAAGGTACATATTTTTATTTAATAATCCAGATGCTATATAAATGACGCAAATAATTTTTTTCTTCACCTGTAAAGTTGTGAAAACTGAGATAGTGCTATCTGGTTGCCAGTTCTCAGTCGATTATTTAGTATGGGGGACCATCTCTCCAATATCTAGTTATATATCATTTAAAATGCGTTTGTGTGAGTAACACGCGTGTTGGATTTCGTGTGTTGGAGATTCGAAGCATGCCTCCAGGTTCGTTTGCTCACATTTCTCAGTTTGAAAAAAGTACACCTCCGTTCTGATCACGTTGGGTAGTGCATTGTTTATGGTTATTAGCTATTTTCGCTACGCCCACTGGTCTTCTCCAATTTTTAAAACTTGTGATTGATATTTTGAGGCGCCATCTGTTGACGCAATGTTGAACTATGTAGTGGAAGCTCTCCACTCAAACGTTGTAACAAACAAAAGTGTTCTTGATCAATATTAACTGACAACATTACATCGAAACTGACACTGACTTAAGCCTCGTGACCTAAGTGGTCGCCATTAAGAAAATAATAATAACTATTAGTAGAGCGTGCATGCTCTACACATTCACCGGCATCACATCACTGTTTGACAATGTATGTTGGCCACATCGACTCTGATAGTACAAGCGAGCCTAGAAGTAATCTAGATAAATGTTCCGTGGTTTATACCGTTCGATAATTCCAGATGCGCGTGCGCGAATCTCCTGCTAATAATCACGGACGGGTACCGCTCAGCGACTGGTGTCCCCAACACCACCCTGCGACGGTGGGCCTATGAGATACAGTCCACATTTCTAATGCCAAATGCCGTAAGTATGGTCAATTTTTTTAGCAGACAAGAAACGTTTCTTAATTTTGTTTACAATATTATTATAATAATAGTGTGGTACGTTTTCAAATTAGAACATAACCCGTAGCCTAAAAATGGCAACAAAAAGCTTATGAATAGAACTCCTAGGTTTACATAAATTATTAGTCAAGAAGTCTCATCACTTAGCAGTCGCTGTACACTCAGTGGTATGTAAGATTCCTGAAAAATCTGGATTATGGATGGACATTTGATGAGTTTTTATATCAAAGTGATATGTTTTGTTTGTTTTTGTTTCAGGTTTTGCAGTTAAACGGCGTAGATGAAAATATGGCAAACGAAATTGAGCACGTGTTAGTTAATGGTTAGTATTTACGTAAATCTGCCACGTTACTTTGAAAGTAAAAGATACTGTTCTAAACTTAACAAAAATTCCAAATTTAACTTCCTGCAGAAAATGGCTGGAAAGTGAATTTTGGTCCCTGTAAGAATGTGTTGGTATCAACAATTATCGAAATTCATTATCAACATCGTTTTTAAATAGAAAAAGTAACGCGAGTCGGATTTTCGCTTCGTATGTTTCGAGCCCGTCTGTGGTCCTTAATCACGAGCTTCCGCGGCGGTGACGTGACGGAAACTGCGTTTCAAAGCGGACTCTCGTTTGTCTCATTCTTAAAATGATATGTAGGATTGCAAACTACATTAACCACGTCGCGTCTTAAAGTCTCATCTACACTCATCATTACCGCGGCGAGGGCTTAAATCCGTTTCGTGCACCTTTTCGAAGCGTTTCCTCCGCCAGGACACATCTCCGTATCGAAGCGAATGTTCGTCCACAGAATACGAGAAGGAGGAGCTTCTCCGCAACGTGTTCCGCAAAGCGCGCCAGAAAGCGAAGGAGGAGCTGGGCCAGCAGCTGAACGAGTTCCAGGTGAAGCGGCAGGTGGGCCTGGGCACGCTGTACGGGCCCACGGACCACGTGATCGCCAGGTGCCACGCCGAAAAGCAGCAGGTGGGGGGGGGGGCGGGGGGGGGGCGGGTTCGCGCGGGGGGCCGACGGCACTGACGCGCGCTCGTTGCAGGAGCAGACGATCGTGGAGCGCCTGCTGTGCGAGCGGCTGCGCGCGCTGGCGGCGGCGGGCGGCGGGGGCTGCCCCTCCCCCGCCTCCGCCGCGCCGCCCGCCCCGCCCGCGCTGGCCGAGGCGCAGCAGGCGCTGCTGGCCGCCGCCGCCGCCGCGGCGCTGTGCCTGCTCTGCCGGTGAGTCTGCTCCGGGCTGCGGAGCGCCTCCCGTGCCGGCGTGATAATGGTCTTTCAGAAATGGGTTAAGAACTTGATTCAAGAAAGCTACCACAACGTATCGGAATTTTTTGAACATCGGAATGTCTGAGACTCGCTTAAGTCGACGGTTATCTGTTATATTACAAGTCACTATCTGTAATATTTTGAAATTATAATTGCCATATGCAATGTCTTGATCTGCATTGGCGCCGTATTTAAAAACTTACTAATGGAAATAATGCTAAAGAATCTAAAAATATTAAAAAAATGTCTTCGGTTCAATCTTCTGGCTAATTGTATCTGGTAAGTTTTGCAAAATTGTCCGTAAATTGTATGCACCGCGCGCGAGCAGTGACCCCGAGCGCTCGGCGACCCGCCATTGACCGAGTGATAAAAACGAAACAATAGGTAAATGAACGATCGAGAAAGAGCACCTTTCTGGACCACATTATGTAGTGCGGTGCTATGTTAAATGGGAGTGTACATTATAATTTATTGTTTATTTACAATAATTAGAAAAGTTGACTGAAAAAGATTTTTCTTGGAAATTAGATTTGATACTTACCAACTTTAGGGTACATGAAAGTATTGCTAGAAGTGTCCACCACCACCGGCAAAGATTCGCACGTTGTCGAGAGTTTCGTTTCACCTTTCTGAACACTAGCACATTTGACTTCATAAGTTTGAAAGCAAAGACGATTTTTGCGCGCAATTCCTCGACACACGCTTTCTCCGTGTAAACTAAACATTTGACATCACCCCATAAGTAACAGTCACGCACTTGCCGTCCATAATAAGAAGGAGCACCACTGGATGGTAATACAGGTTCTGGTGAACCTGATAGCGGTTCTTTTTTACACTATCTCTTGTTTACATAATAAACCACGCGGCATTTCGTGAGAGACTAGAATTGCAGCGGATTATCCCCCTTAGTGCAGTGCGTGAGCGAGCGCACTGATAAGGCGCGGGCGTTTAATGCGTTGAAGAAAGTGATAGCAACACCTCAGTGGTTCCTCTGCCGGTCCGCCGCGGTGCTACTAAAACCTATAGGTTCCGTTTACGTGCCGTGCAAGTTTATGACTCAATGTTATATATATATCACAATTAAATAAGATAAAGCAAATCAACAATATAATATATATAATATTACATGTAATCTAATAATAATAATCAGCACCAAAGCCTCCTATCACCTCGGATAAATCTAAAAGTTCTATGTGATTCGTCTTCATTTATCCCGAACATAAAGTATCCTATATATTCAATTGTATGTTATTAACGAACTTTGATGACTCCACAAATGTTTTCTTGTTCCTCAGTTTACGTATATACGGTACACTAAAAATGTAATTCAAAGAACAAACAAGGCATCGACCCTCCGAAAGGAAACACGTAAGCCATTCTTGGTCACCCATTACAAGTATATAACAAAATGCTTTGGAAACCTGCTATTTTTAAGGAAAAAAGTTGCAATATATAATATCAGTTTCCCATATTATTTCCTCTACAAATGTATCCGTTAGTCAGTGTCCCTTCGACAGCCAAACATTCAGTACAATTTATTACATTTGTAACTAGAATAAAATGTTCTGACAACATCAAACAACAACGATTATTCATGCTGTCTTAACTTGCCTCTATAATTTTTTTTTATCTTGGATACATTTATGTTCCAAGATTCTAATATAATTCACGTACAAAAGTGTTCACGCATTATTAATGTCATTAGGAATGTATAAATGATTTATAGTGTGAACTGAGTGAAATTGGTGATAATGGTGAATTTGACCGAGATTAGTGAGTCAGACGCGAGGGAAGTGAGGAGGCGGTGGTGGCAGTCGCCCAAGTCTAAGAAAAAGAAGACTAAGTAGGTTTTATTTTCACTTCAATTCAACGTTACGTCATACGTAACTAATTTCCTCATCCTTATACGTATCTAACACTAGTGTCACAGTACATTTATGAAAATCCAATTCACGTAGATAGAAGATACAAATTCCAGGCTTAGTAATTAATTAATTAAATTCATTTATAACAGATTAGGTCCATAACACGTACAATTTGAATACATTACTTTAAATATTTCATTTTACGTAATAATTTGTATAATTGTAGCAGAAGAGCTCCTTGTGAAAAAGTTCGCCCAGTGGCAGCACGCTACTTTATCTATATCTGCCGTCAAACAGTAATGTCAGCATTACTGTGTTCCGGTTTTGAAGGGTAAGGGTGCTGGTGAAATTACAGGCACATGGGACTTGTCAACTTACGTCTCAGGATGACAGGCGCGGTGGCAGTGCCTCACAGATCTTTGCAATTTGAAGCTCTGAGTGGCATTGCAACTGTTGTGGACAGACGTGTAGCTTGCCTTCAGGCACACGACTTGTTTGTCCCGTCACTTGATAATATAAAACAAATAAAGATATTCAATAGTAATAAAAATGGGATACAATTAAAATTCAAATTAGATTAATAATTTTTTTTACATAATTAATTAACATAGACATAAGAAAAAAGCGCCGACAATTAGTAACTGCAGTCGTTTATAGTTTTGAAATTTTTTGACAATTTTATATATCAAGTTATACAGCGCCCCTATCGTCTCCACGAAAAATTAAAATTTCAAGTCCAACCAGTGAAATCTCGGGATAAAGGTTTTCTACTGTTTTTTTGTGTGTTTTCATTACCAAAATTCATAGGACACAATTTGTTTATATATGGATGAGAGATAGTTGTAGGTAGACCCGGCGCGGTGCACTGTTTGCTTTATTTCACCGTACAGTTTTTACCAGCAACAAAAAGAGAAATAGTTTGAAGGTGCGTTTGTATTGTATTTAGCTAAGCTAAAAGAATACCAACAATATAAACAGCCTGTAGGTAACAATAAAAATGTTGATTCAGTATTTACATCATTTGTAAACATATTTTGTAATTGTCTACGATTGGAGTCATCTGTAACAATATGGTAGCCATATACAAACGAGCAGTACAGGATTACTGTCGGTGCACGATTGAACGTTTTTCGTTCAAATATAGTCAATTATTTGAAATGATTGTAATGTTTACTTGACAAAAAATTGTTTAGAAAATAGTTCATTTTAGTTGAACTATAACAACAATATCCTTTTTATTGTATAGATATTTGTGGATTTCTGACTTGTGTGGAATTAATTGTGTTCAGTTCTTATGTCCTTTTCGAATTCCGACGGAGTGAATAAAAGGTAATTTAGTTTGTACATTGTAAACAATGATGTCATTGGGTTATCTATTTTCAACTTACATCAAGTATGTGGTAATTAATTAAGCAACATGACTACGAATAATAATAATAATAATGTGCTTGACAATCACACCAATTACCTGTTCCTACACTGGGGACTTTCCTGTGCTAGAGTATCGGAATTAACTGCGGTACACTACCTAAACACCTACACCAAAACAATTGAGTAAAGTTTTTCCAAAATGATCTTACTGGAAGTCGAACCCGAGACCTTCTCATCTAGCGCCCGCGCTGATATAACCGCTGGATCACTGAGGTTGTCAAATAAATGAGAATTAAAATGTGTATTTACGTAACATATAGTCGTTTTCCTTGGGGAAAAAGTTCGTCCAGGGAAGTACTACCACCTTACTTATTTCTGCCGCTAACCAGTAATGCGAGCATTACTGCATTCAGGTTTTGAAGGGTAAGAGTGTTGGCAAAACACACACACAGGCACATGGGACTTACAAATAAGTTGACAGTCTCAACTTGACAGTCTCAGAGCGCAGTGGCATTGTCGCTCAAGTCTGTGTGATTTAAAGCACTGAGTGGTACTGCAACTGTTATGGACAGACGTCTCGTTTACCACAAGGCGCACAAAAAAAAACGTAAGGCAGGGAAACTTCAGCATGTAAAGCAAGTTCTACATTTAAATAAGTTGAAGTTTCCGCGCCAATGCCGCAGGCCTCAAGTGAAACCACCAGTGCACGGTGATTCACGCTCCATACTAAGGCGGTCATAAATACGTAACTCCGAAATTATTATTATTTTTTTATTTTATTACGTTAAAATATGATTAGGTAAACGTAAATTAATAAAATTATACATTTTAAAAAATATTTGACAATATTTAGGTGTAAAAATGTCTCGCAGTAATTTTGTTTTTAGACGATGTATCTAAAACATTTTATACTGCGACTTTTAATGGTAAAACTGTGTAAATAATGATTATTTGTATTAACAATAACCACAAATGAATAAATTAAAACAATAAAAATACATAAAAAAGTTCATTTTACAAAATACAAACAAAACACAAATTATACCAAAATACATTAAATCTCAACAATATTAACTTTAAATACATAACAAGTCTAATACAGCTTTTGACAGTACACCTTTTTTTTTAACAGGTAACTTTCGTAGACCTGTTATGAAGGGATCTGAATGAAGAAGCAGCCTATTTACTAAATCTGTGTTGGTCACAATGCGACTCATTTTACGCGTATGATTTTTTCTAAAAGACTTGATGTATTTGTTAGTCGCTTCAGCTGCTTCTTCAGACAACTCTCCGATTGACAACAAACCGTAATCTATAACATTAGCACCATGAATTAGAACTTTGTGAACGGAAGCAGGCATGTTATACCACGGATACTCGGCAACTAACTGCCGAGCCGTCTCTAAAGCGAACTCTTCGAAGTTCGTCTTATTAATATTATATCCCGAATTTAAACATTGAAGGATGATCCAGCAACGATCTAGGAGATCCTTCTTGATCCCAGTAATTTCAGCGGAAATTTCTGAATTCGAGAAAAACCGCCTGGCTGTATTACCATCGTTTGATGTTCCGCTTCCGCCACTTTTAGGCTTATCCACTATAAGCCCTAATCTTTCTCTAAATTGAGTCTGAACATATGATTTTTTTGCAGCAACAAGCATTTTGTCATTAGCGGACCTAGCTTGCCATTTCCTAACATCTAACTTGTACGCGACATGAACAAAATATTCAAAAAAACGTATTAACGCGTGAAGAGGTGATAAACCAAATTCATATTTACTCTCATCGACTTCCTTATTTAAACATTCGTCAATTTTGTTCATTTCACTGGGCAAGGCGTTACAAATAAAACATTTTGATGAAGAAACACCACTAAGTGCATTACACACTTTACCATCTACCATAGTAAGTTGCAAACAATGAGTAATGCGATATTCGCGATCTTCTTCCTTGAAAACAGGCTGCAAGTTCCTTATTTTATCTTTAAAATGAGCTTCTTCCTCAACTGACACTGCAGTCGATTCCTTCAAATATCGGAGGCGTATAGGACGACAGTATCGAGTTGATGAAGGACGAGGATTTTTCCACAAAACTACTGAATTTTCTTTGTTATCTGTTGTCAAAACAAGCTGAAGTGGCACATACGAAGTAACAAACAGGCTACTGTCTTCAAGAGTGGAGTCAGAAAAACACTGTTTATATTCTGAATGCCCTGTACTGCCATCGAAACCCCATTTCCCTATCAAAGATATCTTATCTAGAGACTCATTAGGTACACTATCCAAAACATCTTTTTGAGACTTGAGAATCCGATTGGCAGTATGATCTAATAAACTTTGAAGTTCGACTTCGGCGGATGATTCTGTAACAGTAATATCTGAAGGATAACAGTGTTTTTTAGATTCCACGACACTTTGGTAAGATGGGAAAATGGTTTTTGAAAACTTATTGTCTATAAATTTCTTTACTAATATATATTGATGTGTTAACTGAGCTTCAACAATGAGCGATAAAACTTCGCTAGAATCGATTTCAGGACAAGACAAGCTATCGGACGCATTGAGCAATGACTGTACAAGAGAAGGGTCTTGGTTAGACAAACTAGCCAATCTTCTCCTTTTTGTACGTTTACTGGTGTCGTCAAAGTTAATTCTCGGACGGCCATGCGATGAAGAAGTTGATGGTTTAACTTCGTCAAAGCTCTGAGATACACGTAACTCAGTTCGCTGTACATCAATATTTTCAACGACATGCAGCCAATCTGAATATTTTTCTAAGAATTTAGATCTAGTACGATTCGACTTTGCCCAGTAGTGGGAAATTCGTTTACAAATATTCTTAATTTTAAGGCTTAAAGTCTCTAAATCAATATTTTCGATGTCGTCAGAAAGGGATGATGTTTCGGTCAAAGTGCTCAGGACGTGTTGCATTTTTTCATTTGGATTACCCACTTTAGAGTGCCAAATATCAAAAATTGTCATCCTCGATACAGAACATTTGAAAAATGTACCTAAAACAATATGAAAGCTGAACTTAAAAAAAAATTAAAAATTCAATACTATGGACATGCATACTTTGACACCCCTTTAAGCCAAGAAGAGGCAGCAAGATGCAAATGAAACTTATAGCTCTTAATAAGGACATACTCCTTATTCAAAAACCATATACCTCAGGTGCAGCTCAGCGCAGCCAAAAGTTGTAGGTCTAAAGGAAATTAAGTTATGCCAAAAATTTTCACCAAAAAACTGCCTTCAATAAAAAAATTATATAACAAAAAATATGCATAAAAAAAATTAAAAAAAAATTGATAATAAAAGTACATACCATGCTCTTGGATCTCCATGCTTTCACAACACGTAAACACTTGATTTGGAATAGTGACACTCAAAAACAAAGTGATTAAGTTTCGATGACTCACACGTGGTGATAATTAGTCTCGCGATGCGCTCACTTCCGATGCACAAAAGTGAATGATAACGTGACCTAATTACATTGATATTTATAGTTTTTGGAAGCTTGTTAACTAGTTACTAACTTAGTGAGTTGATCTAACCGGGATAAGCCAATGATTTTTTTTGATTTATGGCCTATGGGGGAATCACAGTGCAGTGTCGAGCGAAGACCTGCCATTTTAACTTACGTGAGAGGTGTGCATCTATCAAGACCTATTTCAAGCCCCCGAGGAAGATTTCTCAGTTCCTGAAACCCGTGAAATGTAACATCCCCTTACAGGATGCAGGAGTTTACAAGCTTGACTGTGAGGCGGTCTCTCTTATGGACAAACGAAGCGAAGTGTTCGTACCCGCGTCAAAGAACATATAGCTGATGTTAAACACTGTCGCCTAAACAAGTCTGCAATCTGCGAGCATGTCATGGATAAACCTACATATTCAATGAAGTTTAACTAACCCCAGGTCCTTGCAAAAGAAGTCCGTTATCTACCCAGGATGCTGCGAGAGGCCATTGAAATTAAAAAACATCCTAATTTCAACAAGGAAGATGGTTTCTCCGTAACACCAGTTCGGGATCCAGTATTTCCTCTGATGAAATATCCCAAACACACATAAGACTGCAGTATATATATAATATCTATTATTAATTAATAATAAATTGAACTTAATAAAAATTCATTCAATAAAATAATTTGTAAAACGTAATGTAGAGGAAATTGAATGTTTGTTTGTTAAATTAAAAATAAGGTATTCAATTAATAACTTTTGTAACTATAGTGAAAATATAGGGTGGTTTGCATTAATATTAGGCATAACTGGTTGATGACTATACCATCTCAGTCAACCGTGACCACGGGACATGTAAAAGGACCGAAATGTCGGTTTGTTTGAAAAAACAAATATACGCGGTTTAAATCCGAAAAATAGTTTCATTTTCTAAAAAACGTAAGTTTGATAAGCTGGGTGTTTGTTACATTTGATTAATTGGATGGTGCAATGGCAGGCCGGCGGCGGTGGCCGCGGCGGTGGGCGGGCAGCGCGCCGCCTTTCTGCAGCGGGACAAGCTGTACAAGCAACGCACCAAGCAGTTGGCCAAGACCCATCCGCAGCCCGTGAGTACAGCCGTTAATGTGGTGGTTGCGCTGCTAGTGGACAACGGTGTCGCGCAACTTAAAATTAACTTATTATATCAATGAGAAAACAAGAAATTTATTTTATAGACATGAAACGTGAAATTTTGACGGTCCTTAGTTATTTGTTTTGATCGAATAGAAATTAAATTAATAATAGTGGTTACACAGTCGGCGTCTGATAGAAATTCATTAATTAAAAAATAAGTATTGGTAATATACAGTCCGGTAGAAAGGACTAAAATTGTAATTAAATTTCATTAGGTGCAATTTAATTTTGTAGATTTGGAAATGTTGTCGTTTTTGCCCTTTTACGCTCTGTCGCTTTAAACGGGATGACAATATTTTGAGGAGTTGGGAATCCTAGAAACGACACCGTTGTCGCTAACGTGACTGTTCGGTGAGGTACAGGTCGAGCCGTGCAAAGTGGCCCCTCGTTCACACTGCCGCGCAAGGGGAAGTGTGAAGAAACCAGTGATAGTAAAACGAGTGCCTTTCGTGTTCAGTTCGTGGTCCGCGGACACCACTTGCAGCTGCAGGCGCTCACGTCGGTCGGCCATTGTCACCACTGCGACAACGTCATCTGGGGGCTGGCCCCGCAGGTGAGCGCAGGGCCCCGGTCCGCGAGCCGAGCCCGGCCGTCGGCTACAGCGGCCGTGTCTGTGCAGGCCTACGTGTGCGCCGAGTGCCAGCTGCGCGTGCACCGGCTGTGCGCGCGCAGCGTGGAGGAGGGCTGCGTGCTGGACCACGACCACTCGTCCAACCGCATCTCGCGCTTCATGGAGCGCATCCACGCCAACCCCGCGCCCGCGCCCGGTCAGTGCCCCGCCGGCGCCCGCCACAGGCCCGCGCCCGCCGCTGACCCCGCGCTCTCCGCAGGTGCCGAGGCCGGCGACCGGAAGCCGCGCAAGGCGTCGGCGACGGCGACGGCGCACTTCCTCGGCGGTGAGTGCGCTCCCTCCGGCGCCAGTTGTAGTCTTGCGTCCGTTTCTAATCGCTTTTCTGTTCGTGCACAGCGGAGCGCAGCGCTCGCAGAATCGAAGACGAGCCGCCCTGGGACCAGACGCTGACGCCGGCTTCTGCTCAAGGTCGGTCTCGTTTCTTTTTCTTTACGACGCTGTAGGTCACGCACGGGAAGACGAACACTTCAATTCTTGTAACTTCATCATCGTGCGGTGCCATCTCGCGAACGACCTTTAAAGACCGATCGGCTGTGGTGGTGCTCTCGACTTTAGAAGATTTTCTTCAACTTCTGACAACACAGTGAATTCTCTTGCGTCACCGGATTCGATACCTGGCAGAAGCGATTAGTTTTGTTTCGGAATACGGAAGGACACGTTAAATTATTAAGTACATCTCGATCAGATTGGGGATGTCCTGAAATAAGCCAGATTAAAAGTACCAAAAATAATGTATGAAAATATTAAAGCGACTAAAAGAGAAAAGACAGGGGAGTGCAGCGAATGGAGGTTCGTGATACCTATCTACCCTAGCGGGAGATGGACATGTATGAGTATACTGAGTGACAATGACGTAGTAATAAATGCCTTAATTTATGCGGATTATTTAAAAAATATGCTACAAATTCAAGAGTTACTCCTAACCGTGACAACGTTTAACCCTGTAAGAATAGATGTTATAAGTACGTATTGTGGATTTAATAGGCTATGCGTAGATCCATGTATTTCCAACATTGCCTTTACTTTTTAAATGACTTATAAAACAGAATAGAATATAATTACTTATTACGGACCATGATCCATAATAATGTTAGTAATACAGTAAATTTTTCTTACGTGATATGGCTAGTACAATACCAAATTATTTAATTCTAGTGAAATGCCACGTCTAGACCACTACCCTACGCACGTATAGTTGCACCCAATGTGATTGATAGGGGCAGTCCAGCCTGTTGGCAACAACGGCTAGGATGCCATTTGCGCTGCCGCGCACACGCATCATGAGTGAGGCAGCCTTCTTGCGCATAATGGCATGAAAGCCATCTGTGTGCGCCTCCGTGAACATGCCGCACTGAGAACATGATGCACAACAGTGTCGCGGCAGCCCCATTAGCACCCTAAAACCGTTATTAATGTATTCAGGGTTCTCTGGGTATACTTTACCCACAAGCTGCTTGTGTAAAAGGTTTGGCAATATGCTTTAAATAATGAGATCTTTACATCTTTGGTGCAACGAGCAAACCTGCGGGCGAGCATATTACAGACAGGGCCCTTCTCTCCCTCTCCATGTCGGCACTATCATACAGGTTATCGGTTACCCAGTAACCCAAGTACTTAAATTGAGAGAAACGACTTATCTCACTACCATAGAGAAATACCGGCGGCACAGTTTCAAAAGAACCTACCTTCGGCTTAAAAACTAGTAGCTCGATCTTTTTCGTGTTATAGCTGAGTCCATGGGCTTCCGCATATGTCTCACATGTCCTGAGGAGCTTACCAAGTGCACTGATCCCAGGAGTCAACAGCACCATATCATCAGCGTAACTGATATTATTAATGAAAGTGCCATCAATAGAGCAACCCACTTTAGCGTTGCTGAGTTCCACGATCAATGCATTAATATACAGGTTGAAAAGCTTGTGAGCTCGGCGATGTAACCCCCCCTTGTCTCACCCCACATTTAAACCTGTAATCTTTTGAATACACTCCCGCCTAACACTGTTAGTCTGATTTTCGTACCAGTAACGGATTAACCTAGTGACTTCATCCGGGAGATCCGTCTCACAGCGCAGCTTCTGCCATAGCACGTCATATGAGACAAGGTCGAAAGACTTGAAGCATAATACGGCGCTCTCTGTGGATAGTCCGCTCCTGAAATATATTACATATTAATACTTATACTGTCCACTAAGGAGCGCTGTAGTAGATTTCGAGAGGAGTTTTGTTTTTAAATAATTAACATTTATTTATTTATTTAAATAAAACTATTTAAAAAAATAAAAATACCAAATCGCTTAATCAAAAAACAATGCAAAACGATCCTCGAAAATGTCTCTGATATAATATTTATTCTACGTAGGAGGCTTCTCGTCAGCGCAAAAACAGACCATGTTGATCTATGTTAATACTTGAACAGATGCTTACCGTGTGGGCCGACCTAGAATAGAACTTTTGGAAAATTTAACAATACAATACCAATACTTTTTAAAAGCATACATGAACAAATACAAAGAGAAACTAGGTAGGGCGGCCTTGCAGCTAGGTTTTAATATCGCATTCCTATCATATCCGTCAATCTATCGTGTTTAAAAAATAATAAAACTTTAAAATTCCAAAATACTTTAATTTTTATCCTATATATATATATACTTTAAATCCGGAAAAATAGTTTCATTCCTATACTTTAATTTATATTCTTAAGAGTCGATACTACCTCAGCTCGAATGAAATTTTTTCTCGTACTGATACGGTTCATTTTGCTTGGATTGAGCGGCAGGGACACTATTTCACATTTTATTTTTTCGAAAACGAAATTAAAGAAAAAAAAACGAAATATATAAACTCTTTTGCAAAAAAACGGGCACTTTTGATTTTTTTCTCTACTTCAATGAAGAAGAACAAGAAATAGGTTTTATGAATTTGACGATATATTGGAATGTTATTTGAAGCATCCGGGCATGATTCTATACGTTCCAAATTTAAAATTTGAAATTAATAAAAAGAAAAATAATGATTATTGTCATTGACTTACAATTACATGGACGTCGGGTCCGCGCTAAAAAGTGTCCGCACTTGTAAGGCGCT